CTTAGGGGGAATTAGACATTATTAAGGGCTCAATAAATAATAGTTAATGACCAATTAACCATCTACAAGTATGCTGATTAGCAGGTAGTTAGATGTTAATAAGTGTACCCTAAAATAAAGTGTTTTGGTGGTGTCTTCCTGGTGGAGGCAGGATGACAGCACCATCTGCAGTCCCACTTCCTTAGGACAGTATCCCAGGTGTATGAGAGTAAAAACAAACAAACAAAAAAAAGAACCTAATAACATAAAAGATCTTTATGCTGAATGACTCTTTGCTACCTTCATTTAGTGTTTGGTGTGAACGCTGGCCTTGGTAAAATAACTCTGCGATGGAGAGTGCAACGTGACCACATTAACACCAATGTTCTTTACTCTGCACAATTATATGGGAAATAAACAGGGGAGTGGCTCCGGTGTTCCGAAATCTTCTGAGACGAGCCGATAATGCGAGCATCGTCCGCTGCGTCCACTATTCATATGTCTACAGTATTCCAGTTGTGAAAGTCGCTTTCTGTTCTCCTGGAGCCCTGACATTTGGGAGAAGACTATGGACTGTTTGAAGAAGTGGACTGAGCGAGTGTGATTTCACTCATACTGTTCGACTACAGTCAAATGAAGCTCACCGAGACTAGCAGAAGTGAATAGTTCATGTAGCAGAGTTCTATATTAGGAATAGGAATTGATTTACAGACAAAATTGCTAAATAAAAACATCAGGATCACGCAGAGCATCTTAATATGAATATTTATAAACCAAAATGAGGAAATTGGACAGGAAATACGTCCATTCTCACTTCCTGTTTGGAACACGGTGGCTAGTGGGTTAATTCTATTTACAGTCAATGGAGAAGATTTCAGAACATGTTTGTAGAGATGTTTGTGATTTGTTCTTTGGAGAGAACATTCTATTTCCAAAACTATTTGCAGCCTTTGTGATGTAACAAAAGCACAAACTCAAACAGTGATTTTGATTCAGTAGTGTGGCTCTAGTATTGTCTGTGTTTTGTGTGTACTGTGGAGGTGTACTGGAGGTGTGAGCAGACAGAGTGGATTAAAGAGCAGTGCGTGACCCTTGACCCCACTGTCCGCCTTTCGTATCGCCCGGAGGGACACTGCATCCATCATGGCTCTGGCTCCACTTTAAAAACTCCTCTTTCTCCATCTCTCTCTCTCTCCCTCCCTCCATTCTTTTCACTGTCCTGTCTTATCTCTCTGTCCATACCCTCATCTCCATTTCTCACTACTCAGTGATTCTGTCTAGTGTTCCTCTTCTCTCTCTTTCTCTCTGCATCCTCTCTCATCCTGTCTGTACCATCGTCTGTTCTTTGCGATTGTGAGTAGATTTGTGATTTATGTTTTAATCATAGGATTCTGTTCAAAGTTCACATTTTAAACAGGCTCAGAAGAATTGACAAAAAGACTGAAATCTGAACTGACAAACTAATACAAGAATCACATTTCAGAACACTACAGGGTTAATGTTCTAGCAGAATAAGACAGGAGATTTTGTTGTTTGCTGGGAAATCATGCTACTTCAAAAATTGCAGTTTTTGCAATTTGCTAGTTAAAAAAATTCAAATTGCATATTGATATATTGTGTGTATATATATATATATATAAAATGTGTTTCTCACCTTCCACGGTGGTAGGTCTCTCTCACCCTCATTCAGCTCGGGTCCTCTACCAGAGGCCTGGGAGCTTGAGAGTTCTGCGCAGTATCTTTGCTGTTCCCAGTACTGCACTTTTCTGGACTGAGATGTCCATTGTTTTTCCCGGTATCTGTTGTAGCCACTCTTCCAGTTTGGGGGTTACAGCCCCGAGTGTCCGATCACCACAGGCACCACTGATGCCTTTACTTTCCAGGCTCTCTCCAGCTCTTCCTTGAGCCCCTGGTATTTCTCTAGCTTCTCGTGTTCCTTTTTCCTGATATTACCATCGCTTGGTATTGCGATGTCAACCACCACGGCTCTGCTCTGTTTCTTATCCACCTCCACTATGTCTGGTTGGTTCGCCATCACCATTCTGTCAGTCTGTATCTGGAAGTCCCACAGGATCTTGGCTCGGTCATTCTCCACAACCTTTGGAGGTGTTTCCCACCTTGATCCTGGGGTTTCCAGCCCGTACTCTGCACAGATGTTTCTGTACACTATGCCCGCCACTTGGTTATGTCGCTCCATGTATGCTTTCCCTGCCAGCATCTTACACCCTGCAGTTATGTGCTGGACTGTGTCTCAGGAGCCTCTTTGCACAGTCTACACCGTGGGTCTTGTCTGGTGTGGTAGATCTGGGCCTCTATTGCTCGAGTGCCCAGGGCCTGCTCCTGAGCAGCCAGGATCAGTGCCTCTGTGCCGTCCTTCAGACCAGCCCTCTCAAGCCATTGGTAGGATTTCTTGATATCAGCCACTTCAGTTATGTTCCAGTGGTACGCCCCATGTAGGGGTTTGTCCTGCCATGATGGTCCCTCCAGCACCTCTTCCTCTGGACCCCACTGTCTGAGACATTCTCTGAGCACCTCATCTGCCGGGGCCTTGTCCTTGATGTACTCAAGGAGCTTGGATGTTTCATCCTGGACAGTGGTTCCCACACTCACTAGTCCTCGGCCCCCTTCCTTCCGGCCTGCGTACAGTCTCAGGGTGCTGGATTTGGGATGGAACCCTCCATGCATGGTCAGGAGCTTTCGTGTCTTAACATCTGTGGTCTGTATCTCCTCCTTTGGCCAGCTTACAATCCCTGCAGGGTATCTGATCACTGGCAGGGCGTAGCTGTTGATTGCCTGCACCTTGTTCTTGCCATTGAGCTGCTTCTAAGGACTTGCCTCACTCTTTGCAGGTATTTGGCCGTAGCCGCTTTCCTTGTTGCCTCTTCGAGGTTGCCATTTGCTTGTGGGATACCAAGGTACTTGTAACTGTCCTCAACGTCTGCTATTGTTCCCTCTGGGAGTGACACCCCCTCTGTGTGGACTACCTTCCCTCTCTTTGTCACCATCCTGCTACATTTCTCAAGCCCGAATGACATCCCAATGTCTGTACTGTAGATCCTTGTGGTGTGGATCAGTGAGTCGATGTCTCGCTCACTCTTAGCGTACAGCTTGATGTCATCCATGTAGAGGAGGTGACTGATGGTGGCCCCGTTTCTGAGTCTGTATCCATAGCCAGTGCGGTCGATTATTTGGCTGAGAGGGTTCAGGCCTATGCAGAACAGTAGTGGGGACAGTGAGTCTCCTTGGTATATGCCACATTTGATGGACACATGTGCAAGTGGCTTCCCCTTGGCTTCAAGGGTGGTTTTCCACAACCGCATCGAGTTCGCAATGAACGCCCTTAGAGTCCTGTTGATATTGTACAGCTTCAAGCACTCAGTGATCCATGTGTGTGGCATTGAGTCGTAGGCTTTCTTGTAATCAATCCAGGCAGTGCACAGGTTGGTCTTACGGGTTCTGCAGTCGCGGGCGACTGTTCGGTCAACCAGGAGTTGGTGTTTGGCTCCCCTGGTGTTTTTTGCCGATACCCTTCTGTGCTGCGCTCATGTATTGATTCATGTGCCCACTTATCTTAGCCGCAATGATGCCTGACATGAGCTTCCATGTTGTGGAGAGACAGGTTATTGGCCGATAGTTGGATGGGACTGCACCCTTTGAGGGATCCTTTAGGATCAGGATCGTACGCCCTTGGGTTAACCATTCAGGGTGAGTCCCATCCCTTAGCAGCTGGTTCATCTGTGCTGCCAGGCGCTCGTGGAGGGCAGTGAGCTTCTTTAGCCAGTACGCATGGATCATGTCAGGGCCTGGTGCGGTCCAGTTTTTTATACCTGAGACTCTTCCCTGGATGTCTGCCACTGTGATGGTGACTGGATTCTGTTCAGGGAGGTTGCTGTGGTCTTCTCTCAGATCCACCAGCCACTGTGCATTGGTGTTATGTGATGCCTCCCTTTCCCATATGCCTTTCCAGTACCTCTCAGTCTCCAGCCTTGGTGGGTATGCTCTGGTGTTATTACCTTGCCACTGAGCGTACACTTTCGCCGGTTGTGTTGCGAACAGCCGGTTTATTCGTCTGGCCTCGTTATCTCGTGTGTACCTCTTTAGGCGGCTGGCCAAGGCTTGGAGCCTTTGTTTGGCAGTTTCGAGTGCTTCAGGTATGGGCAACTGGTTGTACCTCTTGGGCACTTGCTTTTTCATTGCACCTTTCTGGGCCTCTGACAGTTGGCTCACTTCTCTCCGCACCTCCTTGATTTTAGCCTCTAACCGTCTTTGCCATGGTGGGTATTGTATCGCATGGCTCCCATGGTTGCTCTTATAGCCCAACACATCTAGGATCACTGCTGCTGCTGAAGTATATATATATATATATATATATATATATATATATATATATATATATATATATATATATATATATATATATACATAGTCAATGTCGATTGTTTAGAACCCAAAGAAACTAAGGTGACCAATATGTTTTGGCTGATATGTGGAGTCTAGTGCTAGTTGTTATTTTTTCCCCCATAATATATCATTTCAATTGATTGAAACTCACTCAACTTTTACCTCAACTTGGAAAAGAGAGAAGTGCAGTCTCATTTTGTGCAATGTCCTCTTCAAGTGAAGTGTTCAAATGAAGCTTTATCCACATTTGTACTAAGCAACTGGTCGGCAGAAACAAAATATCAACCTGTGCTGGAGATTCAAGGCTGATACGCTAAAAAATGCAAATATATATATATATATGGGTCTATCCATAGTTTTTGTATACTGATATATACTAAACTAAATTGGCGTCTCTCTTGTCCATAGGTTTTCTGTTCACTTTTCCAGATTAAAATTAAATGGCGTTTCTTTTGTCCATAGATTTTCCATACAGTGTTCTAGATTAAACTAAAATGGCGTTTCTCTTGTTGTAGGTTTTCTGTACACTGTTCTAGATTAAACTGAAATGGCCTCTCATCCGTAGGTTTTTTTGTACACTGTTGTAGATTAAACTAAAATGGCGTCTCTGTTGTCCGTAGGTTTTTCGTACAGACCTGATCACAGCCATGAAGCTCCCAGACTCTGCTCCTCTGGCTCTGGAAGACTTCTACCTCCTCACTGACCCCTGGAGGCAGGAGTGGGAAAAGGGAGTGCAGGTGCCCGCCAACATGGAGGCTATACCCCAACCCGTGGTCAGGTAGGAACCAATATACTACTTCTACTACTACTACTACTACTACTACTACTACTACTACTACTACTACTACTACTACTACTACTACTACTACTACTTCTACTGCTCGCTATGTTTATGTACACAGCAGAAAAACATCCCAGTGACACCTGCTGCATGTAACTGCACAGATTAAATTAGGTTCAGTCTAGGAGAGACATTCAAGTGCATGAGGTAAGAAACAGGCTAATATTAGACATGTGTTTGGATGTTTATTTTGTTTTGGTCTGCTATGTGAACATGTGAAGTGAAAATTACCTGAGCTTGTGTATATTTTTGCTATGTATTGTGTCCTTGGGCAAGACACTTAACCCGCCGTGCCCCCAGTGTCTGCGTACACTGGCGTATGAATGTGTGGAAAAGTGCTATATAATAATGTGTCCATTTACCATTTACTACTAATACTACTACTGCTATTATTACTACTACTACTACTACTACTACTACTACTACTACTACTACTACTACTACTACTACTACTACTACTACTACTACTGGTACTTTTGCTGTTGCTGATGTTGGTGTGGTGAAAGAGGAGTATCGTATGTGGTGTTGTTTCTTTTGCGCTATTGATCGTGAATGTTTTGGTTTGATAAATATTTGGATATATTTGGAATTTTGGATTATTTGGATAAATTAAATATATGAGGTACTTTAAGTAATCGCTGGAGAGGAAGATTTTATGTGTTTGTGTAAATTGGCAACGATTAAAGGCCCCATTTTCTGATCTATGTTGTAATGTAGTTTCTTCACCACAAACAGACCTGGAATTGGGCACCACTACATGACATCACAAGGTGGAACAGAGCATTTTGAGCTCTGGAGATATAGACAGACTAATAATAAAGGTTTAGTCAAACATGTGTGAATGAAACATAACTCCAGGTGTGTTCTTGTGGAGGTAACAACATTGTAACATGGTTTGAAGCTCACAGGAGTCAGTTTTATATCTTGTATCACATTTTTCCTCCTGCCAGTGAGTTTATAGAGGTTTGTGTTGAAATCCTCTGGCATTCTCTCTTTTCCCTCCCTCTCTTCTCCACTCTTTCCCCACTCTCTCTCCCCTCTCTCTCATTCCTTTTCTCACCTCCCCCCTCCCTCTCTCCTTCTTTCTTCTCTTTTTTGTGTCAAATTTTTCCCTGTTCTGTTTTGACACTGTGTTTATGGTGTTACCTCAGACTTCCTCTCTTCTCTTTTCTTCTCTATTTGCTCTCTCCCTCTCTCTCTCTCTCCTCTTCTCCCTCCTTTCCTCTCTCCATCTCTCTCTCTCCTCTTCTCCCTCCTTTCCTCTCTCCATCTCTCCCTCTCTTCCTCTCTCCCCTCTCCCTCCTCTCCACCTCTCTCTCTTCCTTTTCTCCCTCTTCTCTCTCTCCTCTTTTCTTCCCTCTCTCTTCCCCCTCTCCCTCTCTTCTCTGTGGCGTTGTGGTGAGACAGGGAGGCATTCGGAAACCTTTGTCCCACATATGAAGCGTCGGACTGGGCTGTGAGCTCGAGTCGTGTCCCTCCTCTGAGTTCCTCCAGTGTTTAGGGTCCAGTGGTGTTAGGTTCAGGCAAAGTGCAGCTGACTTACATCTGCACTGAAGGATTATGGGAAAATATCGAACTGATGAGCATTGTGATTGAGATTAGATTTGCGATTTCTGTTTTCATCATTGGATTCTGTTTGAAATTCATATTTTAAACACGTCCAGAAGACTGAAATCTGAACTAATGCAAGAACCACATTTCAGAACATGTTGTTACAGACCATAGACCATAGACCAGGGGTGGGCAATTCTGTTTTCCATGGGGCCACATCAGAAACAGAAAATATTGTGGAAGCAAAAAGAAGAGTTTATGTTCTGACTAAGCAATGAAAAAGTGAGGTTGATTTACAAAAATTGCCATTAAAAACACCTCTAAAATAAAATCTATGCAGCTTTAGTCCATGCATGAGGTCAAATGATAAAATATGTTTATGTTGTATTTCCAATGATCTTAAAGGGCCGGTCAGAGTCGACCAAAGGTCCGTATGTGGTCCCAGAGCTGGACAATGGCCAGGTCTGCTGTAGACTGTACCGTGTAAAACCGTGGACTAAGGGAGTGCAGTGTTTCCCTCAGAAAATTGGTTAGGAGGATTCACGTGGTTTGGAGGGACGTAGTCAAGGCAGGGGGCAATTGTTGTCAAGGCCCTAACTATAAAGTGCTATGGGAATCACTGGAGTGTGACGTCACCACAGCGTTCGGATCCAGTCAAACGAAGCTCATTGAGACCACAGCTATAGGGGAGAATTTTGAGCCAAGTTTCATATTTGGTATTCTGACCTTGAGTATGACAACAACCAAAGAACCAATCAGGAGACAAGCGAGGCTGTTGAAGGTAATGGCCCTTCTCGCACCCCTGCTTGTTTCTATGGATACGTCATTGCTCTCCCTGAAATGTTACACAGTGTGACATTAAACAGCTCTACTTTACATTTATTCAGTTACAGGTGGTTTTATAGACATTCTGACTGTGAGCGAGGTCACCTCTCCACAGATCTGACCTGTAACTTGGTCTGGTTTGGTCTCCATGAAGATAGAAAGTAGAGCCAATATGGGCACCTGGAGACATATCGGCTATCGGCCGATATGCTTGCTGATATGGGCCGATATTTCACGTGGGCACGTTATGTTATAAAGCTTAGACTCTCTACATTATGTTCATTTAATCCAATTTACAGACAGATAAATGTCCTAATATGTGGCTCCGCATCAGTATTTATCTGCGGTGTAATTTGTCTGTGTCTGTACTGTCCCTGAACACACCACCAGAGTCACGTCACTTCACTCGCGTGTGTTTGTTTACACCCGCAGCCGTGCGCAACATTGAGATTATATTCTTTCTCTTCAATCGGTTTGAGTCTGGATTAAAAGGACATTTATTAGTGCAGACTTGTGATGTGAGGAGGAGCCTGTGTGAGCGCTGAGTGTTGGAAATACATCGACTTTGAAGCTAGTTTAGGTGTTGTTAGCGGTTAGCTGCTGTAGCTCCCGCACATAAACAGTCTGTTTTCTATTGGTCTATTGTAAAGTGACTATATGGGCCGTATATTTGTTACTGGACCTGCATTGATATGTAAATGAGCTGTGAATAGATGTGTGAATGATCCACATTTATGCATATAATTAACTACCGCGGTGTGCAGCATTTACGGCTAAAGGCTAATAGCGACAGTTTACTAGCTAGGAGTTATGGGTCGGTCGCGATCGAAGCGGCTCTTAGAGCGAACAACAGGAGCCTGCTTCTTATTGGGAGCCATGTTTTCTCTTTTTCTCACTTTTTCTCTTCATGCCGCATGTAGACCCGTAGTTTGACAGCAGCAGCGGCTAAAAACTAAACTTTAAAAAATCTGCGTGTGCATAGGATAAAAAAAAGCACATATTTGGCTGCAGTTCAGCATAAAATGAATAAACCAGGACTAATCTTGGGCTCGAGTGAGGGAGAGAGATAGAAACCAAGTCCCGACACTCAGTCCTGGTTCAGTTCTGGTTTAGTCCTGTTTTACACATGGTTTAAATCTGTTTTAGTCCTGGTTTAGTCCTTTTTCAGTCCTGGTTCAGTTTTGGTTTAGTCCTGCTTGCAACAAAACAATCTCCAGAGTCGCTTGGGAGCCGAAAGAGCCAGCTGCTTTAGTGAGCCGAGCCAAAAGAGCCGGTTCTCCAAAAAAAAAAAAAAAAAACTGGAATACCCATCACTAGTAGCTAGAATGTGATGCAAAAATGATATTAGGCCAATCTACTGTATGTAAATATGATGTAAAGAGTCAAAATAACAATAAATGTTGCCTAAATAAACCCAATTTAGAATCCACTAGAGCCAAACCTAAGTTTTTTAATCAATTCAAGATTTACAGTGAATTTTTACATCACTAAATATATCGGTGACTTTATCGGCTATCGGCAGCTCCAACTCCCATTATATCGGTTTCATATTGGCCACAACAAAATCCATATCGGTCGGGCTCTAATAGAAAGATTTAATACCATACTGTGGAACATTCCAGACAAAGCAATAACATCTCCATGGAGAAGTATTTGATGGACCCTCCAATGGGAATGAATATAAAGCCTTTATACTGATAATGAGTTCATACGAACATTTTTAAATCAGCAGGAGTTTGACAGCAGCAGTGACAGAGGAGCAACGCTTTTTCAATACAAAGTCAATTTGAGCCAGAGTTGATGAAGCCTGAAGCGCAACCCATGATCCTTCCTCTTGCTCTCTCACTCTTTTCTCTCTCTCTCCCACCTGTTTATCTCTTCATCTTTCCTTCCTCTCTCTCAACATCTGTCTCTTTCTCTACACTCTCTCTTCCTCTTTCTTTCACATTTCTCTCTCCTCCTCTCCTGCTTCTTACTTCTCTTACCCTTCTCTTTCTCATCCCCCCTCCCCTGTCTCTCCTCCTCTCTCTTCCTCCTCTTTCTCTTTCCTCTTTTCTTTCTCCTGCTTTCCTCCCTCTCCTCTTCTGTCTCTCTCTCTTTCCTCTTCTCTTTCTCTCTCCTATCTTTCACCCTCTCATCCTTCCCTATTTCTCCCTCTCCCCTGCTCCCTCTATCTCTGTCTCTCTTCTTCACTTTCTTGACACACACATTTGTCCTGTTTTTATTTTTTCTGAGTAATGACATCATCTGAAGTGTGTGCAGGAGCGAGCGTCTGCTCTGTCCAAATAAGGTTTCTGAGCTGCTCAAATTCACAATCTTTTCTAAGCATTTTTCTGCTATTTTTCAAAGCTTATAACAGAAAAGCCCAGATCTGTTTTTGTGCGATCTTTCGCTCTTTCCTCTCGTGCTCCATCTCTTCCATTAGGGCTGAACTGTTCTTCTGAAAAGCATTGTGACTGCATTTAGATTTGCAATTTATGTTTTAATAATCAGCAAAGTTCAGATTTTAAACGCGTCCATAAGAATTGACAAAAAGACCAGAATAGAGCTGTAGCTATCAG